CGTGGAGATGCTGTGTGCTTCGTTGTGAAAGCGAAACTACTTTGTTTGGTCTTCCAAAAGAGGACACGACTAGAAATCAGTGGTTAAGTTGTATTTACAACACTGTTCCAGAACACTTACACAAATATTCTGATGTGTGCAGCACATTTTATGGAGGACTGTTTACTGATCCTGGTAGAGTAGACTACAACGCCAGCTGTTCTGACTCACAGACTGTAAGTATGTTTTTTTATATTTTATATTTAAAGCGAGTTGTTTGGGCAGTGTAGAGTAGGGCTTGTTGTTTGTCATTTCTCCGATCACAAATGCAGACATGGTTTTATGTTTACGCGGCGTGATGCAACGCAACGCGTAAAAAGACAGTATAAGTCATTATAATCCATAATTATGTCCCCACTGGATGCAACGAATGCCTCGTTTATAATGGGTTTTCATTTTTTTGAATCATCGCATTATCACAATATGGTAAGGGGCGTAACATTTCCGTCACACGCTTGAGGTATTCGGCCAATCACAACGCACTGGATAGCTGGCCAATCACAGCACACCTTGCTTTTCAGACCGATGAGCTTTGTAAAAATCGACGCGTTTCAGAAAGGCGGGGCATAGAGGAGAAACAATAATGTACAGTATGTGGAAAATAATGTGTTTTTTGAACCTTAAACCACATAAACATATTTCATTACACCAAATACACAAAATAATGTTCTTTTTAGCAGCATCATATGACCCCTTTAACTCCTCCATAGTGTAACCTATTAATATTGGGAAGGAAAAAAATATGTCCTGCTTACACGCAGCTTCCATGTGTGGAACAAGTCGGCGCTCCAGTGTTAAACTTGTGAATTGTGATATGCGATTTCTAACGGAAAATAGCCAGGTTTAGTTATTCAAAAATGTAACTAAATAAGATGTTTACGCATACCTGTGACTTAATGGAGAGCTCATGGTTGAGTGTACGCATTTCATCTAACTGCTGTCTGAGCTCCACCAAAGCATCATGTTTTTCACAGATGTCCTTCTCTAGCATCTTCATGGACAGCTCCATCTCTTGCTTCATCCCTATCTGCACCTCCAGCTCCTTCTCGACATCCTACACAAACACACTCTGTTTCTTAAGAATTCAGATTCTTCAGACTTGATTCTTTGAAGACCCCACATCAGAGATGACTCTGAAGATAAAGACAGTGATATACACACATGAATGTTTTACTCACCAGTCTGAGCTGAGTTTCCTCTTTGAGCTGTTTGCGAGTTTCCCCAAGCACTTGACCGTTTGCAGTACCATCTGCCCTTGATGCCTTCAAGAGAAACACAGGTCAAATATCAGAGCAAAGAATGTGACAAAACCAAAAAAAATATGTTATAACCCTACTGTGAACTACTATAAGCTTGTGGCTTGCTTTTGAATAATGAGTAGCCATCACTGTTGTTCTATTGAATGCTTGTTAACAATTAGCACTGTGGGATCAAAACAATGTTGTTCACCTTGCGACTAGACTCCACCAAGTAAGAGCTTTCATCCTTCACCCTTTCCAGCTCCTCCTGCAGAGTGATGATCCTGTTGTTTGCAACGGCAAGCTAGACACCAAGAACAACACATGCACAGACAGTTGGAACAAGAAATTGATTATTACTAGCATCTATTCACAGCTAGTTATCTCATTACTTTATTAAGTCCCACAAACCACAGTAAGTGTGTCAATAAACCACATACACTACCATTAAACCACATACACTACCATTAAAAAATCTGGGGTAAGCACTTTTTTTTTTTATTTACTTTCTTTTTGGAAAGAAATTAATATTTTTAATCACAAGGACGCATTAAACTGATCAAAAGTAATAGTAAAGACAGATAGTAAAGTTATAATTTTACAAAATATTTTTTATTTGCTGCTGAAAATTCAGCTTTGCCATCACAGGAATAAATTACATTTTAAAATATAGTAAACATTTCTATTGTAAATTGAATTAATAATAAATAATTGAAATTAAAAATATAAAATTGTAATATTTCACAATGTTCTATTTTTGAAATAAATTACTGCAGCCTTAGTGAGCATAAGAGAATTCTTTGAAAAACATATTTTTAAAAATCTTACTGACCCCAAACTTTTGAACAGTAGTGTACAGTATACACAGCTGTGTGCATGAATATGTCAGATGAATTCAGTTCTGCTAACATGTAAATTATCTATCAGTTCTGTAAATAATTTTTCTCCTGTTTATTATGCTCTTGTATTTACCACAACTTCAGTAATCAATTCAATTATAATTATTACCCACCTCCTCTGTAAGTTTTGAGTTGGACTTTTCCAGCGCATCCACTTTGGCTTGCAAGTTATTCACTGACGCACTGGGGAAGGGGAATTTAGAGTGACAATGTGAGATTGCTCATGCTTTCCAAATGAGCAGCTAGTCACAAACACACCCCACAAGTCTGATGTTGGGTAAAGGGGCTGCACCTTAAATGTCTGTTCAGTTCCTCAACGTAATTCTTCTGGTCAAGAATAGCTGTGATTTGTCCATCACTGCAAACAAAAAGCAGCTTTAGAGGAAGCTCTGAGATTTTCACGAGTAGTCCAAAACCTGTCAGACTAACACAATTAGCTTCCATTGAGGAAGTTGAATATTGACTCACCCCTCTGTGCTTTTGCTGCTGTGTGCACCGTCTTTCAGATACATGGAAAAATCTATGACTCCAACCTATTGAGAGAGTAGAGGAGATCTTATTGCCCTGTATCACCTGTTGGCCAACACACACACTCAAAAATAAAGAAAAATGTAACAAAGATAATGCTTTGTTCCATCATATCTTGTCCTTCATTACTTGTGTACAGTTAAACTAATTAACAAATACCTGTGAGTCTAAATCTTCTCCCTTCATGCACAAGTTAGCATCAATGACATTCAGGCCCACCAACAGCCCAGCGATCACGGCTCCCTCCTCCTCCATCATAAGAGCATTGGGCTCATAGAATTCACTGAGGAACACAACAACAGCAAATATAAGACATTTACCAAACTGGGTCATAAAACCACAGTTATGGCTTTTATATTAAAGACCAAAAGCTGGAACTGTACCCGAGAAGGTCTTTTCGGTTGATGATGGTCTTCATGTAGTCTGAGAGCTTCTTCTGCATTAAAGCCAGACGAAGCCATGCTCTGCCTCTTCCTAAAGGGGTTCTGGTATAAAAGAACAACTTTAGAATCAGAAACGCAGTATGCATTTAAAAAACAACAACAACATGTTCAAGTTGAAAATGTTTTCTTACTTGAGCCCAGGAAGGTCTTTGACGCTGGCTGTGATCTCACCAGCTTCTGGAGTCAACTTTTCTACAAGCTCCAGAGGACCCCAAAAAGACTTATTCTGGCCAAGGAACGTCTTCTTACCTAAAAAAAAATAATAATAAATGTTTAGAAAAAAAAATGAAAACAGACTGAATAAACACTACATACCAAAATACTGTGCAATCAGTAATTATCAAAATTAATGAGCAGATGATTTTTGCGTAAAGGATACAAATGAGGACCAGCGAATACTCTAAGTACAGCAGAATTTGGGCTGGGATTTGTTGCGCTTACTTTTAAGTCCGTGTTTCAGACAGTGCTCCATGACGACAAAAAACTGCTGCAGTGGGGCATAGTCTGAGTCCAGTGTGCGACCCAGGTTCAGTGCAGACTCAATCAAGCCCTTGATGCTCAGCTTGGCCATGTTCATCAGGTTAAGCCTCTCGATGGCAATGGGATCCTTGGGATCTGGAAATTTTAAAAAATCAAGCATGAATTAAGACATCATTCTCTAACTGAATTTTTCTACACAGTATTTAACAGGTTTGAGCATGAGATATAAGCAATATATGAGGGTTTTCTCAGAGATTTTCTCAGAGAAAGACTTCATGAGAACTTCCCATTGACTGTGGCTACGTGGTTACATCTATGTCTGGCTAAGACTTATGAAATTGTAGTTGATGCAATGTGAAATGCATCAAACGCACACAGATTTCATCCCACCTCAATCATGCTCCTCAGGAGAAATTTTCAGATAAAAATGAACAGATGATTGTTTTGAAAGCTGTTGTTTTCAGGATAATCTCAATTCAACCTTACAATGAATCACAAGAGTAAATCAATCACTACAGTAAATCTGTTTTTACTGAACTGAATTTCGAGTTTGAGTTCTCAAGCCTCACCCTGTCTAAACCAAAACACACCCACAGTAATGCAATCATTTCATCATTAAGACTCTCAATTCACGTCGGTTCACGAATAGCAGTGACCTTTTTCATGAGGACAGTGCTGGGCAATAGAAAGGCTGGTATAGGTTTTTTTCCCTTTAAAATCAATTGGGTTGATTTTACAAATGGGCCATGATGGACTCATTTAGCATTTAGTCAAACTTCCCATCTCATTGCACTTACATTGCACCAAAATCTCATTACTTTTCAGGTGTTGAGACAGGAGAAATGATCCAGGAGGCAGTGGTTCATTTTTCCACAGTACACTGGCTTTTAAAATGAAAAATTATGGCATGGAAGATACTGTCAGTTCAAGTCTAGTCATTTCAGCCCATGTTTATTTTAAATGGTCATTACTTATAAAATAATATTGAATTGTTAATGCAACAACAAGAATGAAGTTGTTCAAAGAACTTGAAATTAATTGTAAAACCAACAGATTTTACTGTTAAAAATCTGTTTTCACCAGGTATTAAAGACATTGTAGCTTTGCAGTCACACAGCAAAGAATGAGACAAGTTATAGCTTCATGCCTATGCAAAGGTTATACAAATGACAGAAACCAAACTATTTCACTGTAAGGACAGATTATTTTAGTGTGTTTTTTAGTGCATAAGAAGTCTCTGAATCATTAATGTTTAATGTCTCTACAGGGAATAAATCTGAAGAACCAGAAATTGATCAATGATAGTATGAAATGCAAGTAAAACCATGCGATCAACATGCCAAATCAGCCAGAGAATGGGGTGGGGCAGGGAAACGGCCCAAAAAAAAAAAAAAAAAAGGCCAGACAAGAGCAATCCAGCCAAATGTGTAGCCAAATATTTTGCTAGCTACAAAGAGAGCTAGCGAAAAAAAGTCACAGAGACAAAGCTATTGATGGAAACATCAAACCAATAGGAAGGGAGATAATAGACAATGAAAAAGAGACAAATAAAGAGAACAAAAGAACATGAGCACAAGAGGTAAATCTTTAGAAGCTGTGGTGCAATGTGCCGTTCAGGGAGGCTGGTTTGGTAAAGACAGGGCTGCACGGCCATGCAGCTGTGGTTTTAGGATGGTGCCCGAGGCGGGGATGAGGTGGACTGGGGGGAGTGATGCCACCATACCCACCTTTAAACTCATCAAGCATTTGCATTTGCTCCACCAAATCTGTGAAATCCTCCCATGAGTCTTTGCAAAAGGCAATGGAAAACAGAATAAAAGCAGTAAAGGATTGGGTCATGCACATCATGGGAGTAAACCAAAGCAACAACAAGAGGGAATACACATTATGTTGTAGGAAATTTGAGTGTGTAGACTTATCTACAGAGCCAAGCTCACTCTCTCTCACTGTCATACATTTGCGCAAATCTTACTCTAGTGGATGACTTTAGAAGCACTACAACAGAGACTATTAATAGCAAACTGAGTGCTGACGACAAGACAGTTACTAACCATGAAGTAATTTGACTACACTAGAAGGAGCTCAAACAATGCTCTACTTGTCCTGCAAGACTCTAGTGGCAACTTATCTAAACCGATTTGTTTGACAGAAGGCCTCAGGAAAGAATCCACAGCACTGGAATAATCTTTTTTTGTTAGATTCATTCCACAACAGCTTTAAAGGGACAGCAACAAACAAAAAATTACTCATTTTTTACCACACGTAGTTCCAAACTTCCATGTATGACTTTCTCTCTTCTGTGAAACATGAAAAATTTTTTCGTCCAAAACATATATTTTTTATGTTCCACAGTAGGGCTGTCCAAAAAAAATTGAATTTCGAATATTCGTCGAATAAAAAAAAAATAAAAAATCCACATTCGAATGCAAAAACGTTGCATTTTTGTTAGCCTATCCAGTTGAGGCCACTAGATGCGGCGCTGCTGCGTTGTTCATTAAAAATATTGCGGAAAAAGAGAACATCAATGTGAAGAAGATCTTGTTTACAACAAAACTGAAACCAAGCCGTTCACACAGAATGCATATTTCGCGAATTTTTTTTAGAGGGACATCTATCACCATTGCACTCGCATCTCGCACAAAATAGCTGCATGTTTAGAAAGCCATGTAAAATTCATGCAAGTTTAACTTTGAAAAAAAACAAAAAAAACAGAGACTTTATGGCAGGGGGTTTTCCCCATCCCACTGCACTGTTTTTAAAATGAAAAATATACTCTGTGAGATTGGCTTTCCACTCTTTCTATTAAACTATGCATACATACATGATGCTATTTTGTTTATAGTTGTTTAAGCAACTTAATTAATAATAATTGGTTTATAAACATTATTTTAAACATTATGCACTTGTTTCCCACAGATAGTCATGTTTTCTTATGCTTTGAATAAACGTGCATTAGTAATATTTTACTCGATGCGCCCTCTTGTGGCCTCAGGAGAGAAGTCAAAAGCTTTTCTTCACCCTAACGGAAATTATGCATTTTATATTCGAATATAATTCGAATTTTGATAATATTTCAGTACAAAATTCGAATTTAGTTTTTCAGCCATTTTGACAGCCCTATTCCACAGAAGAAAGTCACACAGGTTTAAAACAACATGAGGGTGAGTAAATCATGATAGATTTTTTATATTCATAGAGTGTCGCTTGGCTGAGAGGGAAAAGAAGAAACAAAAATGAAATAAAACCATAAGTGACACTTAATGAGGCAGAGCACACCAAACACTACAAAGAAGATCTGCATGCAGTGAAACAGATCAAGGGCACAATGGCAACTAACCAGTACTGATTGATATGTAGTGGCTTAATTGAAGATAATATTTGTTGTAAAACATCTATGAAAAAAATACCGGAGAGGAAATAGTAGTGTCTTAACTTCTGTTGGCTCTGAACCCTGGGGTCCAATGTGACACTAAAAATATCAGATGTTTATCACACAGTCCAAAGGTGATGCAATTCGTGAAAATGCTTGACCAACAAACAACTACTTCTGCAGTATATAATCATCTTAGAGGATGACTCCGTAAACACACCTTATCAGATAATGTTTTCTATTCCTTGTCTTTCTACATGCCTGTTTCCTGCTCGCCCAACGAAGATAAAATACATTAGATTAAACTGTTGTTGTTAGTGGCCCTGGTTGCATCTTCTCTACTGCCAGTTGATCACATGCCTTCAAGACATTTGATTGAGTGGGAATCCCAGGCCTATCTCCAGGGCAACAGTACTGTGTCCATATGATGTTAACCTTTTAACCTTTGGCACGATAAGCCGTGACTCTCCAGTAATGCACTGGATTAGCAAAACAATTGTGAGGTCGGACACCATCACTATTCTAGAAAACAATTTATTGCCTTATTTTTCTCTTCAGAAAAGTGAATGAAAACCATATGATCAGCAAATTTGCAAAATGCCTTTTATTTTTATTAATCTCAACAGAGAAAAAGAACATTTCAAACAATATTAAGTAATTTGTTAAAGGCCCATTCACACCAAGCATGATAACTATAAAGGTTTAATAATCGTTCTAATTATGAGAATATGGAAGTCCACACCACAGCTATAATGATACAGAGGAACAATATCGTTGGGATCACTTTCAGAATGACTGTTTTCCAGATGATGAAGAATAAAAACAGTGTCAGTGTCAATTCATCCTGCTTTAAAGAGCTCGAACATAACTGCAGCATGCACTAATAACAAGAACCAAATATTATATTCTGTTGGTGTGTATGCTAATGTAGTTATCTTTACAGTCATTGCTTTTTAGTGTCAGCTTTTTTGGTCTCAAGTATTGTTTAAAAAATTATGACCAACGATCCAAATTGTCTTACAGTCAATGACACTGAGAAGTCTAACAGTCTGTCAAAAACTTTTTTTTGTTTGTTTATTGGAGGGATTTTCCGAACAGTGCAGTGCACATACTCAATTTGTTCAATGTGACAATAATTTAATTAGAATAAAACAGGATATGAATAGCTTCTCTCAAACCACTCAGTGAGAAACAAACACTTGTTCTCCATAAAAACTACATTTCCAAGCAGGCCTGCGGGAATGCTGAGAGCATGATGGTGGAAGGTTGGGTGAGCACCGCCCAGTACGATAGGAGCCACAGAGGCCTAGTGATGGTGTGCGCCTACCTTCATGAGCCGGCTCGGGATCTGGCGTTAGCGAGATGTCGTTGAGCTCGCGCAGGCACAGCCATTCGCCATCCACCGACACACGGAAGTTGCATAGGTAGATGGTCTCTCTGGCAGCCTGTGTGATCTTGTCAGTAGTGGGGGTGGGGGCTTCGCTCTGGGGAGTCAGATCAGACATGGTGACTCAGCTGATAGCTGCTGCTGCTGCGACGACAACAACACTTACGATGAAGGCCCTCAGTGAAGAGTCAGGGGCAGGGAATAGGAATAACGATCCAGTCCACGCAAGAGTATTCTCCAGCACAAAGGAGAAAGAAAAAACAGTCAAGGAAAACAAAGAAAGAAGAAAGGGAAAAAATAAACAAGCAGTCCACGGCAAACCTGGCCGAAAGGATGCTATTCTTCCGGGACTCAATGGCCTCGCCTTGTGAATGAGCAGCGACAGCTAAAATCCTCCATGTGAATAAAGGCTTCAGTGCTCTCTGGCTCAGCACAGCCAGGGGATTGAGATGCTGTGTGAGCCTCAGCGGAGCTACAATCAGAAATGTCTCTTTCTCTCTCTCAGTCCCTCCCTCACAGCCCAGACACTTGCTTTCACCGGATTGGCTGCATGCACTGAAACAAAGAAAGAAGAAAGGGAAAAAATAAACAAGCAGTCCACGGCAAACCTGGCCGAAAGGATGCTATTCTTCCGGGACTCAATGGCCTCGCCTTGTGAATGAGCAGCGACAGCTAAAATCCTCCGTGTGAATAAAGGCTTCAGTGCTCTCTGGCTCAGCACAGCCAGGGGATTGAGATGCTGTGTGAGCCTCAGCGGAGCTATAATCAGAAATGTCTCTTTCTCTCTCTCAGTCCCTCCCTCACAGCCCAGACGCTTGCTTTCACCGGATTGGCTGCATGCACTGCAAATGGGAGGGTGTTGGCCAAGATGGCTGCCGTGATGCTGAGGAGGATTGTGGGAATCATGTGAGCAGAAGGTGGAGAGAGGCACAGCTCCCGAGAGGCCTGTCAGATGCAGGGGGGAGCTGTTGTCAAAGATCCACATGCCGCACAAGAGAAGGATGGAAGAAGTACTACTGATTGAGAACCAGAACACTGCTGATAAAGCTGCTTTTTACTGAACGACATCTTGAAGAGGAGCAAACTGGCCACTCATATTAAACAGTGTATGAAACAAACGTGATGAAAACATTTTATGGATCACATTTCAACCTTTGAAAGTTCCTTTGAAAAGAGAAGAACCTCATATGCAAAGTCATGTAAAACATGGTTTGAATATTAGCAGTAATCTAATATTCCAATCTTATTTGAATGGACCTTGTTGTTTTCTCTTATTATAAGAGAAAAGCATGAAAACTATCAATTAATAACAATTTTTTTAAAAACAGCATTAGGTATAACACGGAAGTGACTAAAACTGCAATTCATCGACTGACCGCTAGAGACTGGCTCCAAAAGGGAGTCAGTACCATAGACTCCCCATGTTAAAATGCCCAACTTTACAGCAAAAAAAAATGTTTACAGCCTGGTTTTGGTCGATATAGCTAATTTTGCTCTTCATGACAAATGTGAGGGGGGTGAATTTTTTTTATAACTCATCCGTTTAAATTATATTAAGCCTTAAAGTTCTGTATAATCAAGGGCGTGGCCACTTGAGTGACAGGTGGACTGCCGCTCTGCTCCAGAGTGTGAAACTCGATAGACTGTGAAACTTAGAAAAATGGCTTTAAAGATTTTTATTTGTCCAGAAAAAATAATTATGGGTTGGACACTGGAAATTAGATGTTTTAATGAAAATGATCTCAAACTTGATTTTTAATGCTATTTTGAAGTTATTGTAGGTACTTTGCCTTTGCACTGTCTGCAAAAAGTGAGATGTCATGCCAAGACAAAAGGCAGTAGCTTCCACATTATATACAATATTTGGGTGCTGATCACCATTTACATAATCATTATAGTAACATCTGTATAAAATCTAGTGATCATTGGCTAGGCTATAACATATAGTAAGGTAATTCCATTTTTTTTCTGACCGTAACAACCAGACAAAAAGTTAAACGTGAGTGATACCATTTTGCAACCAATTTATT